TCATCCATCCATCCATCCATCATCCATCCATCCATCCATCCATCCATCCATCCATCAGTTCATCCATCCATCCATCATCCAGCCCATCCATCCATCCATCCATCCATCCATCCATCCATCCATCCATCCATCCATCCATCCATCCATCCACCCATCCATCCATCCATCCATCCATCCATCCATCCATCCACCCATCCATCCATCAGTTCATCCATCCATCCATCCATCCATCCATCCATCCATCCATCCATCCATCCATCAGTTCATCCATCCATCCATCAGTTCATCCATCAGTTCATCCATTCATCCATCAGTTCATCCATCAGTTCATCCATTCATCCATCAGTTCATCCATCCATCCGCATGTTTGCTTCATAAAAGCTGTGAACCAAAACATTATTAGAATAGAAAAGTATTTATTTGTCCTTCAGTGGGAAACGAAAGATGAACATTCAGTAAAGAGGGTTGATACTCTGCTGTGACATGAGTCCAGCTCTGGAGGTCACGCTGTGACCTCTTCAGGGACCACACCTCCCGGGTCGGGTCAGGGTGGGACCAACCTTCAGGTCAAAGTGGGCGATCTTCCTGGTGTGGAGGTAGTTCACTCCTTCCAGGATCTGCTGGATGAACTGAGTGGCCTCCTCCTCAATCAGAGACTCCTTCTGGGCCAGGAAGTCAAAGAGCTCACCGCCAGAGACCCTGAAACCAGAACCAGACACGGCTTCAGCTGGACCGGAACCAGCTGCAGGAACTTTCTTCTAATCATGTAAATTGATGACATTCTGACAAACAGCATCTTTCTGCAGCTAAATTCTGCCCCCTGTTGGCGTCCAGTTGCAATGTAAACAAGCTGGGACAAGGTCACCATGCAGGATTCAATGAAAAAAAGGATTATGTTGAAGACTTCCTTCATTGCATGTCCACAGAAGGACATTAGGGCTGAAACGATTAATCCATCCATCCATCAATACTAGTTTGGTAATATTAAGACATGCTGTTATTGCAATAAGACGTTGATTTTCTTACTTAATCAATGTATTTAATTATTAGTTTATTTTTTATCTTTTTATGTATTTTGAATGTTGTGTGAAATAAGTTGAAGTGGTTAAATAAATATCTGCCAATTTTCTATCTGGTTAATCAATTAAATAACAAAAATATCCAACTAATCATTCAAATAATAAATTAATCGCCAGAATAAATTATTACTAATTTGCAGTCGCAGCCCTTAACTAAATCCTGACCAAAGTTGAGAAAATGCACGTTTCTGTCGAAGACGCAGGAAGTTCCCCCAGCAGCCACACGGTGGCGGTGTGCTGCCACTCACAGCTCCAGGATGAGCACCACGTCGGTGCGATTCTCGTAGACGTCGTGCAGAGTGACGATGTTAGGGTGCTGGACCTGCTGCAGGATGGTCACCTCCCGCTCGATGTCGTCCCGCCGGACGCCCCGGGAGCTCGCCAAGCTCTGCCGCTTCTTGATGAACTTGGCGGCGTAGTCCAGACCCGAGCTTCTCTCTCTGCATTGCTTCACGATGGCAAACTGGCCGCTGAAACACAGACACGATGTGAGGGGTAGGGTAGACTCAGGGCAGCAGGGTCAGAGGTCAGCTGCAGTTCGGATCCGACATCAGGAAAGCAGAATAAACCTGAACGTGTGAAAACGCCTTACGACACAGGAATGATGCAAACCAGAACACACGCAAGCAGAAATTGTAAAAAGGCTGCAAGTATCAAAAACAATTGGAAGAATGAAATGCTGTAAATTTGCGAGGGCCTCCAGACCACTAGGGGGCGCTGACCACCAAACCGCATGGGTGCAGCCAGCGGTTGAAACGATTAATATAAAATAATCGTCAACCAATTCAGTAATTGATTAATTGTTAACTGGAGTATGCAGACTAAAAAAGTCATTTACTGAGAAAACAATATACTAAGAGCAACATAAAAATAAATAAAAACACATCTTACATTTAATATAAATGTGTTCCAAATCAAAATCTTTCCAAAAAAAGTAGAGGACGGCAACAAGTGCTTTTTTTCTTGAACACAATTCTGACTTAATTGTCTGAAATATATATATGGTAAGTTTCTAGTAAAAACATAGACAAAAAAATAACTTTTACAACTTCTATCTAGAGAAAATGAAAGTTAATTAATTAATCTGATCATTCAAAAGGGATAAAAAAAATTATTTCACAAAACGTCACATTTAAGAAAAAAAGATGTCTCCAAGTCACCGCTGCCGTGTTTTTAATTAATTTAAATTAATGTAAGGGTGAAAAAGTTAACAAAATTATCTAAACAAATCCAAATATCAAAATTAATTAGACGCATCCTTTGCTACAAATGATCAAACGTTCACGAAAGGAATGTTGTTGCTACTTATTCAGCAGTAAAATGTCTGTGTATAAATGTAATTATTTGTTATTGTGCAGTTTTCTATGCATTTTAATGTTGTATAAAATACATTGAGGTTGTTCAATTAAAAAAGCTGCATAAAGTGCCCATTTCTTCTGATTATTCATCAGAATAATCGATAAAATAATCAATTATTAAAATAATGGCTGCTCTCAGTAGGAAGTTGGAGGAAGAAAGAAAAAGGCGTCATTCTAACCCTTATCTGACCCCATTCAAGGGCTTTTACAATATTTTAGAGCTTTTCTGATGATAATCTCTGTCTGTCTCACTTCTATTTTTGTGCTGCACACATTCTGCAGAAAGACACATCTGGACTGCATCAGCCTGACACGTATGGGCAAAAACACAAAAACACGCAGAAAACATAAAAACTTAAAAACATGGCACTACTGTTTAGGCCAGCTCTCAGGCTGCTTCCTCTGCTGACCAGTTTGTAACCGAACACCGAGACGTGCCGCCGCTGAGGCACAAAACTGCTGCTAAAGATAGAGGAGGCCTTTAAAAAGCAGCATGATCAGAAGAGCAGCTGCTGCTGTCTCTGAAGTTCACCTGGAAATTCAAACTTTGGTGACATCAGATAACGATTCAGAGATTATCATTTGGTTCAGGTCAGATCGGCAACCGTTCCCACTTTACATTATGTACATTTCAGACTTTTAGCACATTTAGAAAGTCCTGAATATCCATGAAAGTCTGAATGTTTTCATAGCAAACTAAAAACTTTATGAACAGATAAAAAAGAAAAGTTCGGAGGAAATTTGGATATTTCCAAAAGGAACATAAAACCACTCAAGAAATCTAAAAGGAACCCTCAGATATGTCTGCATCCTGAATTCCCAGAGATCTTGAAGTAAACGTGATATCCTCCAAATAGGAACCGACTAAATGTTGAGTGAAAACATGAGAATGATACCAGAACAAATCCTCCAGTTTGTCCCACAAAGACTAAACCTGTGACTATCATGTTGGTGACATTTATAATCATTATTTTAATCAAATCAGCATTAATTATCAGTTATTTCTTAATGCAGACAACTGTTGAGTATTGCATGAATACCTGCCCAGTTCTTCTCCAATCTCATAGAAATCCTCCACATTCTGCTGCTTGAATGAATCCATGGCTGCAGCTGGAAGCAACACGTTTCACCCACAAATCATCCTGGAAATAACCTGAAAACTAAAGTCACACTTCAGACCGTCAGATGGATTTGTGGAAGCAAACCTTTTTCTTTATAAAATAAAACTGCTTCTGTTCACCGGTCCAGAATGTCCCCCTGGTCTGTCTGCTCTGCTCCAAACGCGAACACTGAAGTCACCTCCGAACTCCGTACCAGACTCCTCTCTGAAAGTTGCCAATTTAACGCGGCTCTGCTCTGCAACGGGACGTCTGCTAGCAAGAATAAAAGTCAAATACCTGAAACAATAAAGACTATAGAACTGTATTTTTTAAGCCGAGTTAAATAACAACCGAACAGTATTCAGACGATTATGTCATGAAAAAAATCCCACATTGACGTTTGTAGAAATTGAAGTAAATTTTAATTTGCATTACTTTGAATGAAGTTTGGCGGCTCTTTCCGTACTCGTTCAGCTCTGTCACTTAAACAAAAAGCAAGCTAATTGGTGGAAAAATCTTTCTGGATAATTAAAGAAAATACAAAAACAATTAAGTAAACTTTTATATGAATTTATAGATTTATTGTGTTTAAAGTTCCCACATCGTTTTCATGTCAACTTTCTTTTCCAGGTTGAAATTTTCAGGATCATTTTATGAATTTATTTTTAGACATTTTGACAAAAGTCAGGCTTTACATAGATGTTATAGCAACATGTATTACATGTTGGATCCATGTTAAACATGTTAGTATTGCCAAGTTGGGTGTCAACATGACTAAATTTGCTGCTTGAGCCTAAATACCATGTTGTTATATTGTGTTGGCGTTAGCTTCTGCTAGTATTTGACGCAGGATTAACTACGCTACATTAGCTTCTGCTAGTATTTGGTATTAATATTGCAAACGTAGCATTAACTGCCAATAAATAATTTGTTGATAGTTTAGCATTAGCTTTCATTAAAAACTATGTTGTAGCGCTTTAGCACTAGCCTCCACTAGATGTTGATAAATCAGTTTAGCGTTAGAATCTGCTAGATGAAATGTTGGTATAGTTCTTAAGGAAAGCTACCATGATTAATTATGTTGGTGTTTTGCTTTAGCATTAGTGGAATGAATGTTTCCAGTTAGTGCTTTAGGGATAGGTTAGCTAATTTTTAGTTAGTAGAACTGATAATTATTATGTGAAATAATAATAAAAAAAATGTATGGCAACTCAAAATGTATCACAACAAAGATTTTAGAGTTTACAGCCAAGCAGTTAAAGATCAATCTGGGACAGGAACAGAGATATGAAAATGAAACAGGTGACAGGAGGACAGGTGGAGCTCAGGAGATAAACTGGAACAATAGCATCTTTCATGTGGGTCTGACATTCAACTGAAACAGTCAAATGAGCCTCTGCTTCCTTTGGACACTCAGTTAGTGACTACATGATCACGGCGCTGCCCGGCCAGGACGGCCCAGGATGGCGAAGCAGTCGATGGAGGACCTGCAGGCGCTGGCGGTAGATGGAGGCCTGAAGGAACTGGTGATCAGGTGGTTCACCGACACGCAGGCGCCTCTCATCCTGCAGAATGGAAACTTCCCTGACTGGTTCCAGGGCCTCGCTGCCAGAAAGTAAGATCTGCACCACTTCCATAAAAGTTTATTGATTTATCTGCAGCTAAAGTTTGTAAAGTGTTTCAGTTTGTTGATCTGAAAGTTTCTTATTGGCTGTTTTGAGTTTTCAGCATCTCAGTCACACGTTCAGTTCTCTTTCTGGTTAGCAGAATGCTAAAGTTAGCTTCTAGAATAGGCAGAGCACCCAAAAATTATAAGTAAAAATACCTCAACATATTTTTACTGAAGTAAAAAGTAGCGATCAAAGAAATTACTCAAGAGCAAAAAGTATGTAATAGTTAAAAAATACATCATGGACCAAATACCAGATTTTGGTATTTAAGGACCAAAATGACAATAATTTTTATAGGTAACAAAAAATAAAATCAGGCTAAAGAAATTTTTTTACAAATCAGTTTCTTTCTATAAAAAACTTCTGACACTAAACAGAAACTGCAGGTGTGTGTCTGGGGAGGTTTGGGTTAAAACATGTTTGTTTTTCATTCAGCGGGTAGAAATTCAGAAATTTTGCTCAAGTAAAAGGAGAAATACTTCAGAGCAGAATGTGGCTCCGTCTTGATTTGCTTCCTCAGGTCTGCATTTTAGTTAAAGCTTTTTACCTGTAGAAAATTCAATTCAAAGCAAAGACCTGGATAAATACTCGATGTTTCATCCGTGAAAACTTCACCCCAATCCTTGTTTTTAAATCTGCATCAACTTCCTGATTAACGGCCGCCTAGATTTGTTCCATGGGCAGCGAAAGGCCCCTGAGCCGCACCTTGACCACGCCTGGCAGATGGAGACTTTCCATGACAAATTTATATCTGAAATAGAAACTCTTGTTTTTTTTTATTAGGTGTTTTTTTTTTTTGTCATAGTAAGTTGGGCCACAAATCTCCAGTAACTTTTTACTCAAAGACTGACTTAGTCGTACAAAATTATAAAAATGTGCAGTCAAGAGTTTTCTCATTTTTATTACTGACAAGTTATGAAACTGCACAACTTTGAGACCTTTTGCCTGACCTTTTTAATTAAAATACTTGTTACTTTGTAGCTTAGCAGGCAAAAGGAAAAGAACTGAAAATAAAACCATTTTGCAATTTTAACTGAAAAAAAAAAAAAAAAAAAAATTCTGAGTTCTTTCTTTGTGATTTTGGCCAACGTTGAAAATGTTTGGATGCGCTGTTATCTCTAAAACTTTCTCACGTTGTTGTGAATAAATTCTGACTAACCGGCTTCCTGAAGGTCTCACCACAACATTTAAATCAGGTCGAGGTTAAGACTTTGACTAGGCCATTGCTACACATTCATTCTTTTGATGCTGGTCACACGTCTCTGTTTTGGTCTCATCTGTCCAGAAATCATTGTTGCAGATGTTTCTCGTCTCATTCAGGTTTGCAAACCTGCGTTGCTTGTTGGGCTTCTCTTCCTCTGACGTAACCGCTGCCACGTCAGACTTTGTGCGATAAATTCTCCCTCTGATAGAACCAATGGCCGCTACCTGTTTGCTGCAGTTCCATGACGCAGCAAACAGGATATTTTTGAATCTAATTTGCCTGCAGTTCTGTTTAATTGCCTTTCTCCCACTCCGCTGCAGGGAAGCAGAAGATGTGCTGAGAGATAAAGCTCTGGGCTGCTTCCTCATCCGCCTCAGTGATAAAGCCATCGGCTACATCCTGTCCTACAAGTGAGGCAAATAAGGTTCCTAGTAAATCATTGAGTGATTCGCTCGCAACTCTCTGACTGAACCACTATCCGCCCTTCAGAGGTCAAGACAGGTGTCGCCATTTTGTAATTTCCCAAAATCCTGAAGGGCAGTTTGTGATAGCAGGAGACTGTCAGCTGTTTGGCAGTCTGACCCAGCTGATCGAGTATTACAAGGTCCGGCCCATCCAGCCGTTTGGGGAGTTCCTCACCTCCAGCTGCTGCCAGGTGAGACACAAAATCCCGTTTCACAAATGTTTCAACTGAGCTCTTCATCTGTTGGTCCTCAGACCTTCAGTTTAAGATGGAATTAGCAAGTTGAATACCGTAAACCAACAAAGTGTTTAGTCAAATATTTAGCTCCAAACTATTTAGCTTCACGTTACGTTTTTAGCTTCCTAATTAAACTTCAAGTTAATATTTAGTTTGAAGCCAGGTGTTAGTTAGTTGCCAATGTATTTAGTTTGTAGGTAGTTAGCTTACGTTTGGATTGGCTGCTTTGCAAACGTACAAAAAAATCCACAAAAAAATTTTTCTTGAATAATTTGAGTTTTTCTGATCAAATAATATCAAACTCAGTAAATATTATTTAAGTCTGTATAAATTAACATTGCCAGGGCTAATAAGGAAATGCTAGCATGCTAATGTGCTAAATACAGTAAAACTCTGTATTTTCACTTTTTTATAAACCTCTAAAATATTAAATATATTGAATTTGTGACTTTTGTGATATGCAAATGTTAACACAAAAGCAAACTATTTGAGTGTTATAATCAGGAAGATGTTAGCATGTTGCTATGCTAAACAGTTTGAATATTTTGCCTTTTTACCAAATGTCTCTTTAGCCTGAGAAAATCCTGACTAGCTTTGTTTCTTGCTAACTAGCAAATGTTAGCATGTTAGCTAATTCATGCTACTGGAGTAGAACATGGTTGTGGTGAAGTTTGACCCGTATGACCTTAATCTGAGCGCCGTTGGTTAGATTCGACTCATGTTTGAAGCGCTGCACTGCGGACCGTGCAGTAACTGCTGTTACTCTTTAGGACGATGCTGATGATCTGTATGATGTGGTCAATGCCAAGAAGACTTCAGGTGTCAGTGTTCAAGCTCTGCGCTCCATCTGGGACCAAGTCGAACCTGACAAGAAACAAAAGGTTCAGCAGCATCAGAGTGAATCTCATCCAGCACCGGCGCCTTCCCTCCCTCCCAAGTCCAGAAACAGGAAGCTGACGGGAACCGTATCCGTGGACGCATCGTCTCTTTCACAGGTAGGATGGAAACTCACTGAAAAGCTGATCATGTCATCCTGGTTTCTCTTCACCTGCAGGTCAGCCTGGTTAGAAATAAATTAATTACTTACAGTCCATTTCAATTACTTTGCCTCCAATGGCCATTTGCATGTTTTTGAATTTATGTCAGCTCTTAAAGAGTTTTTCTGGTCTTTACAATAATTGATCAGCGGAGAATACATCAGACCATGCATGCACTGGTTTAAATATTGAATTTTTGTACATGGACTTTATGCTCTGCATACCTGCATATTACAGATAACTCCAAGCCACCAACATTAAATTGACCATGAAATATAACAAAGAGCATCATAGAAACTGAGCTTTATGGAAGTAACTCTACGGTCTGGTCTGACCCGGTCCAGCTGCGTCTAACATTCAGAGACATGGCAACGCAGTTTGATGCAACTTTCCTGAGAGTGGATCCTTCCATTCCTGTAGATGTTGCAGCAACATGGTTGCAGTTAGCGCATCAGCATTGGAATAACAGCTTTATCAAGAAAAGAATTTACATTTTAGTCCGAAAGAATAAAAAACAAGTAACATAAGCTATGGGTAGACAGGCCCTGCATGGCTTATGATTTCTCCAAATACAGGTTTTGGATTGGATTGTTTTGCTTTGTTCTTTTCAGACCCTTCCTCCGGTACCAAAAAGAGGAATGCCTCTGTGTTTTTCCTTGAGTGGATCTCTACCAGACACAATGTCCTATCCCAGTGAAATGCCAGCCAACCCAAACAGAGAGCCGAGACACAGAGGAAGGACAACTCCGCCGTGTCCCGCTAACAGAGACTCCTTCCACCCAACAGACTCAAACAATTCAAGCCATTTATACAAAGAAATGTTGCCGGGTGCTGATCTGAGCCAGGTGGAGAGCCGGAGCCAGTCCCTGCCGTACCTGGGCAACGACGACGACAAGGAGGAGAAATACTCCAACAAGTTTAACAGCCTCTCTGTCACAGCGCCCGCCCCGTCAAAGAAGGTCACCTGCCTCACGTACTCCTCACACACTCCAGGTGTGACTCAGAGCAGCTCCGGGTCAGAACCAGAGAACGGCAGCCTGGACCAGCTGAGACCCAACCCTCTGTACCAATCGTCCGAGGCCGCCGCAGGGGGTCCGGCCCAGCAGGCAGGCAGCATGTACGCCGAGGTCTCTGATGGCCCCACGCGGTCCCCCGATGACACGTACGAGCAGATCCCCGGAGACGGCGCCGGCCACAGCAACACGTACGAGTCGGTGGAGGACGTGAAGAACAAAAAACCCAAAAGCACCTGGGGGAAAAATGTAAGAATGGAAATAACTAACAGCATGTTTCCACTGAGCCATTTGATCTGTTTCTATCATAAAGCCCAAACAACAGATGATCCTGCACCATTCCTGGGTCTGCTGCAGGTCCAGATGGTACCGTACGGTTAGGATCCACGGTTCTCTGACTGGTGACACTGCGCTAAAATAACGCCATTTTAGCTGTTTGGGGTAACAGCGCCCCGCTGGTGCAGCGGAGTGTTGGAGCCCCTGCAGAGAGAGAAGATGATGCCTCACTTATGCCAAAAAATCTCAGAACATTTCAAGAAAAAAACTTGGAAATTTCAGTTTCACAAGTTCAACATTTCGACTTTTGAGACTCAGAAATTTCTGAGATTTTTGGTGTAAATTTTCTCCAGTTTTTTTCTGCCTGTGGCGTCGTAAACTGGCGGTGGAACGCCTGGTTCCGTCGGCCCATAAGGCCCTGAACCGAACCGCACAGCGCCAAAACACTCAGTGAAAACGAGGTGGAAATATGCTGCTGATAAAATCTGAAAATGTTTCTTAATTTTGTGTTGCAGAACATTAACTGGAAGAAATTTTTCCCTGATAACAAGAAGAAATGAAGGATGCGACCCTGAAGTTCCTGTAAGATGGTTCTGGATCTTCTGCGTCTGTAACTCTGGACCGTTTGGGTTTTAATGTAACAGCCGTTTCCTCAGTTCTGTTTCAGTTGCTGCATTTCCACTGATTGTATAATTGCACTATTTGATATTTTAAGTTAAATTTGCTTTATGGAAACATGGCAATTTAGAAATTTTTTTTGTTTTTGATAAAAACTTTTGGCAACAGGGTGAAGTGTTTTTTTTTTTGGCTGCAGCAGCAGAACTTTTTTTGCATCACATGATCAACAGCTGGATGTTACCACTGATGGAAACAACAAAGAAGAAGACAGGAAGTAGTTGAAGGATGAGTTAATGACTTAACTTAATCATGTCTGATGTTAATTGTGTTTCTTAATCAATGAAAACTCTGCTATTGTAAATTGTGTTTATTTTTTAAATAAATAGAATATTAATAACGTTTGCAAAAGGTTTTGTGATGGAAACAGATGGTGGCCTGGCTTCCCATCCAGCTCCTGATCAGCTGTAACTCAGTCATATCTTCCTTTTCTCATCCTGTATTTCTGTGTTTTCCTCCTGTAGGTAGTTTAGGATTCACCCTGGACTTTACTGTTTGGTTTTTCTTATTTTAAATTGCATATTGTAAATTGTAAATTAACTGTAAACCACTGAGTTTCACCTGTCTGCTTCTTGCCTAAATGCATTCCCCAACTTTATGAGAAAATGTTTCCATTCTAAGGTAGAGAAGAAAAAATAAAGGTTTTTTGGTTGATGATCTATATGAACATTAAAGATAATCAATCCAGTTGTAGTTATGAAATGACTAAATCATAAAGGACAACTATTAGCAACGACCAGATTTATTAGTAAATATTGGGTAAATGGGAATCAGCAACTTTTTTTGTCATAAAACCAGATTTAGTGAAGCAGATTACATAAAATAATGGATTAAATGTCATCCTTCAGTGGGAAGGTTGCTGGTTCAATCTTTGTTTCATCGATTTATTTTGTAATTTTCAAATATTTGTTTAAAAATGTATTTCTATTTGATGATTGCTTGTTAAGTTTTCCTGTATAGAAATTTAACCATCAGAGAATCAAATTCCAAGAATTTCTGTTATGTTCTGTTGTTTCTCTCAACTTCACAATAAATTTTATTTAAAAAATTCCGCATGTTAATGAATGTTAAATATTTGCATTTAGCTGTCATTGTTTTGTAGAAGGCGTTTTTGTTACAAAGTAAAGGATCTGACTTACTATACGGTGAAGTTATCTTTAAGTTTAGTCAGTTGTCTGTTCTGGGCTCGGAATCTGCCGCCGCAGTTTCCTCTTCTGACCACCAGGGGTCGGAATGTTCAGCCTCCTGGATTCTAGCGAAGAAGAAGACAGGAGGCACGTCCAGATTCCAAACAGATTCCCGTTGGAGAGTCAGAAAGATTTCTGATTTTTAGTTTTTAATCAATCAAATATCGGACTAATCTGTTCTTTTTGGCACGATGGGCACCAGAGATGATGAGTACGACTATCTGTTCAAAGGTAGGTCGTGTTCCCGTCGCTGTTATCTCCCAGGCTAACTGGCAGCTAACGGAACCAGCCTTTTCTTTTGTGTTCCGTTTGACTCTCCGACCCCCAGCGGGTCTCTGGACCGGGTCAGAACGGGTAATCAGTGGGTTTTAGCTCAAACGGTTCTGGTGCGATCCGGATACAACGAAGCCGTTGTTTTGTGACCCGGCGGTTCTTGGTTCGTGTTAGCGGTTAGCTCGGTTAGCCGGCTGGCTGTGGGACACACCTTGAACCGTTATCATCCTGCCGAGGTCCGGACCGGAGGATTTCTGTCATCCGTCGGGGCTTTGAACTGGGCCCGGCATCAGAACCGGATCTGGGAGGAGAGCCTGGGCGCGGAACGGGTCGTTTCTGTTCGGGTGGCAAAGGTTCTGGGAGGGTCCAACTGAGTTTAAATTACTATTAACTACTGCTAACATGAAACATTAATGTGTTTATTTATTTATTTACATAACATAGTGAAAGTGTTCACTCCCTTTAAACTTTACCCGTTTTGCTAAATCCCATAAAATCCGATTTTATTTGATTTTTTTTTTCTTTTCACAAGTAAAATTCTGAAAAGTGTGGCATGCATGTGAATTTTATCCCTCAATAAAAATAGAGGCAGCAGAAACCTGAGATTCACCTCCTAGCAGGACAAACACTCTCAACTTTCAGCCAGAGATGATATGGGGTGGCCTAGTCAAAGTACAGACCTAAATCAAACTAAGAAGCATTAGAAAGAGTTACTGCTGTTCTCCATGCAGGCTGAGTGAGCTGGAGATGTTTTTGTGTGCATTCATTCAGCGCTGGTGGAGCGAAACCACAGATGAGGTTCTGCAGAGCTGAATATAAACGCACACCACACATTTCAGATCACAGGTTCAGCATCAATTTTCAACTTTCTTTTGGTTTGACACATAAAATCCCCCAAACACCTGGGAGTTTGAGGTCATGTGGAACAGAATGTGAAATATGTTCAGATAGTGTAAGTTTCCAGGCAAAAAATAAACAAAGACTAGAAATAAAATGAATTATAAACTAGTGTGAGATGAGGTGATTAAAACGTTTGATTGGTTAATTGCTATCAACTGATTGTTGTATTTGGTTTATTTTGTTTTTCATGTTGATTTATTTGGTTTTTACATGGAAACATCCAAGCTGCATTTGATGATCTGTCTGCAAGACAAGAAAACTTGAAACTCAGGAAACTTTGCTGGTGGTTTAAGTTTTGTTAGATTGTTGTCAACTGATTTCTGAAAACAAAATACTGCTGTGCTGTTTACTTTTGGTGAGAGACTCAAAGCAGAAAGTTGTGAAAGTTTAGTTTTTTAGCGCAGCCACATTTCCAGCTGGTTTTATTGTAGCATAGTAATTTCAAAAAGTGAAATGAAACTAAATCTCCAGTCAGTTTGGTAGAAAAGATGCTATGGCTTCATAGAATCCAATTTTTGCCACAAATGTAAACATTGTTAATCGTGAACGCAGAAAAATAAACTGAAAACATTAAATCCTAACTGTAAATGGATCATAATCTCAGAATCATAAAAGTTTGGATGTTTGTTGACTTTTGATTTCACAATGTTGGAAATTCAGAGACACCAGAGGGATGTTTGTCCCTCCTGGGCCTCCGTCCTCTGCAGACCAGTCTGTAACCAGTCTGTCCTCTGGGATGAAATGATGAGCTGGGTCAGAATTAAAATAATAAAAGTCATAATTAGAAGATTAAAACTCATATTTATCAGTTTTAAGTCATAATTACAGTTTTAAAGTTGGAGCTACTTATGGAAGATATTTTGTGGTTTACTCATAATTACAAGAATTAAAGTCAGAATTGGATTTTTAAGGTCATAATTACTAAAACTGATGCTCTGATTGAGTTTTATTCTTAATTACGACTTCCGGTTGAGGGTTTTCTTAATGATAGAAATGGGTTTGGATCTTTTAATTTATTTTCAGGGAAAATAAATGTTCACACCCTTTAACCCATAATGTTAGTTTAGTGGAAACAGAACCAGCGGGCCGGACTGTAACTCTGCTCTCTGCGCCTCAGTGGTCCTCATCGGAGACTCGGGCGTCGGGAAGAGCAACCTGCTGTCCCGCTTCACCCGGAACGAGTTCAACCTGGAGAGTAAGAGCACCATCGGGGTGGTTCGCGACACGCAGCATCCAGGTGGACGGCAAGACGGTGAAGGCCCAGATCTGGGACACGGCGGGCCAGGAGCGCTACCGGGCCATCACGTCAGCGTGAGTCCAGCGAGGCATGCTGGGAGCTGCTTCAGCTGTTCAGATGGCGACCACTAAGTTCACTGCTAACTCACTGAACAAAAATCTTAGTTCTGCTAATGCTAAACACAGTAAATTAGCCAAAGCTAATGCTAAACACATAAGACATTAGCAGAAACTGCACAGTGTATTATAGTTCTGTTGAATTATCAATAGAAACATTTTGAGCAAAAAAGATTTTGCAGAAGCTAACATTAATCGCTTAGTGCAAAAAATTTGCAGAAGCTACTGGCTAACCGCTAAACAAAAAATGAGCAGAAACTAACCCTAAACTGCTAATCTCTTTAAAAATGGTAGATGCTAATGCAAAACACATGACAAACTTGGCAGAAGCTAATGCTCATAACATTAGGAAATTAGCAGAAGCTATCACTACACGCATTAAAAATGGTGAACCACTAACCATATAAAAAATGTAGCAGGCGCTAACGCTAACCAAAAACTGTCCTTTTGTCTCACATCTTTATCTCCTTCCTGTTGACTGCTGTGAAACTCTGTTTCTGATTTTGCTCCATATCATCACTTTAAAAACGTATTAATATGATGATCAAAGAGACGGAACCCAGAATGAGGAACAATTTATTTCAGTTGTCACTTTAAAAAGCATCAGGCCAAGTGGCTGCTGGGAAATATGACACATGTTTATGTTTGTATCCACAGTTGAGAGATTTTTCAGGTGACAGTCTGACTGTGTGATGTTGTTGTGATGCTGTTGTTGTGATGCTGCAGGTATTACCGCGGCGCGGGTGGGGGCGCTGCTGGTCTACGACATCGCCAAGCACCTGACCTATGAGAACGTGGAGCGCTGGCTGAAGGAGCTGCGGGATCACGCCGACAGCAACATCGTCATCATGCTGGTGGGCAACAAGAGCGACCTGCGCCACCTGCGCGCCGTGCCCACCGACGAGGCCCGCGCCTTCGCCGGTCAGTCCAGATTCAGCCTCAGGATGGACGACCCGTCCCGCTGGTCACGCGTCTCACAGACGTCTCCTTCACTTTCCTTCACAGAGAAAAACGGTTTGTCCTTTCTGGAGACGTCGGCGCTGGACTCCACCAACGTGGAGACGGCCTTCCAGACCATCCTGACGGGTGAGCTCTGACTTTATGGGTCGTCTTTGTCCCTGTCAGCAGAACCGGCCTACGCTGTCCTTATCAGAGCTTTATGAGGCTGTTAGCTGCGGCTAGCACACAACAGCTGGCTTATCTCTGAGGCTCAGCCGTATAACAGCAGGGAGAGGCGGAGCGTCTGATTGGTCCAGCTGGCTGGAACATCGCAGCGTCTGATTGGACGTTCTGACGTTAAACCTGCAGAGGAATGTGGGTCAGCTGACCTGGAGTTACAGCTTCAGGATGAGACTGAGAGGCAAAAACACACTAAATATGACAGGAAGTTATAGAATCCACCCAAACAAGCTGGTATTGATCGAGTTTCTCTAAAGGTGATTGATCTCATTGGTTTTATTAAAACCCAGTTTCCTCTTTGTATCAAGAAGGGCAATCGTCTCTCCGTAACATAATGGTTAATTATTTCACAACATGATCAATTTTATTTCAAAAATAATTACATTTTAGCAATATTTTGTCAGGTGTAGATTTTTTTTCACATTATTACACTTAAATATATTTTTAATATATGAAATATATTCGGGTTGCTGAAAAAAGATGAGAACAAAATTAGTGAAATAATGAACAGAAATTCATGCATCAGTAACGTCTGGTTGATATTTAATTGATATTAAAACTCTGAAAATGTGACAATCCTCAAAATAAACTTTAATTATTGACTTCATGATTTTTTTTCTGTTACTATTTTTCTGCTTTCTTCGTTTATCTGTAGTCAAATCCTCGCCTTCACAGATTAGCAAAGTGGTGATAAGTTAACATGATGATCATATTTGTAAACTTGGCGGTGGACCAATGTGATCTGTGGGACACGTCACACTTTGTTTGGACCAGTTTTCTTTCCGGTTCTGTTATGGCTCCACCATGTTTGTTTCTGTATCAACTGGCTCTGCTTCAGGATTACCAGCAGCGCCTCCGGCTGGATGGAGGCCAAACTACAACGTCGGCTGATGTTATCAGTTAATTAAACAAATTTTAATAGAATAAATAATCAACAGTAATAAATTGATTAAATGTTTGGACCACGGAGCTAAAGTTTATTTCTGGTGTGTGTTGTTCAGCTCTTGTTTATCTCTTGTCTGTTTGTTAAAGTGTGGTTCAGTGATCCGTTTCCTCGCCCCTGCAGAGATCTACCGGATCGTCTCCCAGAAGCAAATGTCGGAGCGCCAGGAGAGCGACATGTCGCCTAGCAACAACGTGGTCAACATCCAGGTGCAGCCCACTGAGAACAAACCAAAGATGCAGTGCTGTCAGAACATCTAGCCCGGCCGCGGACCCGCTGCTGCCCCACCTTTGACCCCGTGACCCCTGACCCCCCACCGTCCCAAACAGACTGCCTGATCGAGACGCAGATTTAATCCTGCGACCTGAACTCTTCCTGACCCACTGACCCCTGACCCCTCCCCCTGTAGGCTTCTGCAGGACGGCAGGCGCATTTCATATCACTTTAGATTTCATTACTGTAGATGCGCTGACATGTCACTGAAATGTCTTAAAATATGAATGTGATTCTTTTCCTCGTCTCCTTCCTTCATGTAATCACCGTAAAGCACATCGTATCTCAGCTTTTAAGCCCCGCCCTTCCTCCTCTTTAGTGCAATGTACTGTGGAGGCGGCGCCGCGCGGTCCGATCGGGAACGCCGCATCGCGCCGCATCACTAGAATTAATCTGTCACGTTTTTCCAACTATGCAGAGCCGAGCGCTTCTGGAAAAATGAAGGACTGAAACGCTAATCTTTTTCCCGGATGACATTCCTGTGCAGCTAACTCTGCGTGGCGTTTTCCCAGAATCCATGGCAGCAGGAGAGAGAGGAGCCGGGCGATCACTGATTCCTAACAACACGCTCTTCTAGCTGAAGTTAGATTTCCTGCACATCCAGAACTAGAACCACATGAGGCGGGCGGATCCATGCAGCTGGGCCCCCCGCCTCGTGGCCCCGTCCCCGCCCGGTCACATGACGCCTACGTTACACCGAGCTGCCTCTGATTCGACACGATGCATGGCTTTCTGTCGTTCGCCTTACATAGCCGACATTCTCATTCCTCCTTCTGGAAGAAGGTTCTGGTGGGCAGCGCCAACAGGGTCGGTCCGGTCCAGCTCAAACCCTGAGTGTGTGTTGTGCTGGCAGTTTGAACCCAGGAGTGTGTGTGTGTTTGGTAGAGGGCAGCTCTGGACGAACTGATTCCTTTTCTCTGAGTTCTGGTCCTGATCGTGTTCACATTGGTTCTGTTGTTGTTGTTTTTTTAAACCTGTGTTGACTTTTTTTTTTTTACTATATTGAATCCTGTAACTGACTGTAATTTCAGTGAAAACACCAGAATGAAATGATGTCATTTCAAGCAAGTGTGACGGCGAAGCGTGGGCTCGACTCGAATGGTTTTATGTTTTGTACAGACCAACGAATTGTACAATTGTGTCTATATAAGTTATCAGTTTATCTTAATAAAGCGCACCAGTCATAAACCTGCTGATCAACTCAATTATTGATTCCTCTGGCATGGAGTGTCTCAGAACATTTTTTAACTTGGCTAGTAGCTAACACGCAGATCGGTAACATGTCGGCCATTTTCACGTTTGTATATTTTAAAATGTACTTTTAACTTTCTAAATACACATTTTACATTTAAATTCAGATTTATTGGTGTTTCAGCTGGAAGTTATGATGTCATCACTGCGCCGTGACGTCATCACTGCGTCATGACGTCATGATGTCATAACTGCGCCGTGACGTCATCACTGCGTCATGACGTCATCACTGCGCCGTGACGTCATGATGTTATCACTGCGCCGTGACGTCATGATGTCATCACTGCGCCGTGACGTGATGTCATCACTGCGCCGTGACGTCATCACTGCGCCGTGACGTCATGATGTTATCACTGCGCCGTGACGTCATGATGTCATCACTGCGACGTGAAGTCGTGCAGCGGATAGGAATGCAAACCGTTAGCATGGAAACAGATTTCTATCCACAACGATTCGGCTCCTGTTATCTAAAGTTTGGTCACTAAGACCCAAACAGCTACTGCAGACTTTCAGACACAATGCGACATCAGTGCAATAATTCAGTGCACAAATGCGACACGTTTGTTCCATTTCACAATTTTTTAAATAGAAAAGTTTAGAGGAGAAACACATCGGTCAACATGGCCGACGTATTTTTGCTAACAGGGTTCAGGTTCGGGTTCAGGTCAGGGTTCAGGTTCGGGTTCAGGTCAGGGTTCAGGTCAGCGTTGAACAGAACTGATGACAACACGCCCCTCTGGGTCAGGATGACTTTATTCAGGAAGTGGGGAAAAGAAAGCAGTCGGTACATCTAGTCAAACATTTCTGTCAGAGATGAACAGGAAATTATTTTAAAAAAGGAATCAAAACACAAAATTTGCCGTTTTACATCTGATTGTCATGTTCTGTTATTGCCGCGGCTGAAATTAAAATGTAAACTTCTGCACCTTTCCTCAGATAAACTGATGATTAGTTTTGGGACGCCTCAAGGCCGAGTCCTCGGGTTCCTTCGTTTGCACTCGACCACGTTTTTTGCTCTTTTGTTCATAGATGTTACAATCAACTGACTGCTGAGCGAGCCAGAGATAAAAATCAATCACGAAGGTTTGGAAAACATTTGTCTGTTCACTATTTAGACATAAAGCGTTTTAACAAACCAGCCTGAGTTTAGGCTGATCTGCAGGGTAAATCAGTTTTGAGGTAAATCAACAGGAAAGACACAAGTTGTAAGTATGGAAATCTGTATGCATGTTATCTATGCATGAGGAAATGTTCACCCTCTCAAACACACAGCAAAAAGAAAATGTTCACAGGGAGACGTCTGGAGTTAACAGCTGCTGCCTCCACAGCCAGGAAAGTGAAACTGGAAAAATGTTTCTCCATTTGTCTGGGATGAGACAGAGGGAGAAAGTTTATGTGGGAAAACTCATCAGGTGGATTCAGGATTTCATTCTCCCATCTCTTAACGGCCAGAAGTGAGTTCAGACGGAGCGCTGACTGCTCCATCCGACCGGATCAACAACCGGATCACCCACCGGATCTGTTCAGTCAAAGGTTAACAGCAATAATTTGGGTTATTTAGCCTCTAATAAAAGAAAAAATGACGCCTCATTTTAGATTTTCATCATGTTATGCATTAATTTATAAGTAGCTAAATATTTAGCTTCAATTTAAATATTTAGCTTCCAACTACATATTTAGTTGTGGCTAAATAATAAACATAGTTAGCTTCCAATATTTTTGTTTGGAAGCTAAGTCTTTAAGTTGAATCTAAATGACTTGAAACTGCTTTGAAATTAATAAATAATTTTATGAAAATATATTTTATAACTCCACATTTTTGGCTGAATCATCCAAATTATTTCTGTTCATCTTTGTCTTTACAGCGTTTCTGTTCCTCTCCTGACCTGAAGGAACGGTTTGAACCTTGACCTTTGACCTGACGTCCTCCTGGGAAATTCTGCAGAGTTCTGATCCAAAGCCGTTAACAGTAGATCAGATCCAGGTGTGTGGCTGTAACCTGACGGTGGCGCTAGAGGGCCGGTTTCATCAGTCTGAAAAGAGCGAAGCGTTTTCTGGAAACGAAGGAGGGAAACTGGAGGGGTTTTCTCTGCAGCGCCGCCTGCAGGTCGGAGGTGTTTCTACGCTGAGTCACATGGTGATTATTAACTAAAACATCAGTAAAAAACTATCGGGCTTTTCTGAATGTTTTTCTATCTTTCTTTGGCATGCAGGAGAATAAAGCTCAACACAATATGGGAAAAGCACAACAATATCCAGAAGTCCATATCTAGAACAGATATATCTAGAACATAGAAAAGAGAAACTTTGATTCCTCCTGGATCTCTGAATGTGAGCAGGAAATAAGAAACTGTGTAAAAATAGCAGAAATGTTCCCAAAGAGGTTTCATGGTCAGGAGTCGAGTTTCCTGTCTGAGAAACGGTTCAGGAACTTTCAGTTCTTCAGTTCCTTTGAACAACGGATCCATCTGCGTTCTGGACGGATCCGTCACGTTTCCCTCTGCGGGAAGTTCTGTTCATCAAGTTCAGACGCTGCGACGCTCAAACACAGTGACGAAGACATAAACTGGTGGAACTGGGAGCGTCCCAGTGAGGGCGCTGGGCTCAGAGCAGCGAGCTGGTGGGGCTGCCGGCAGCGGCGGGGTGATGCTGCGGGTCGGGCTGGGCCGGACCGGCAGCAGGTCGTAGTGGCTCGGGATGTGGCTGTTCCTGGGCAGGTCGTACGGGGTCTGAGGGAAACCGGGCAGCAGCGCGGCGCCGGCTCTGACGGTCGGCTCTGATGGACGGAGGAGAAACAGAAACTGACTGAGCTTCACTTGGTTTAGCTGACCTTTGACCTGATGCCGTAACAAATGCTGCTGGGCCATAAATTATGGAGATAAATGATAATATTGTTTTGAGGCCATTGTCCAGTAATATAATAATAAAGTCATAATAATAACACGTTTATGTTCTGATGAACATTAAGCACTAGAAGACATTTTAAATCTCCAATATAAACAAAACAATAAATATAATAAATTATAAAGTCTCTCAAAAAATGTTTAGTTGAGACAAAAAAATAAAACTTTTAATATCCAAAGTTTTTTACTATAAATACAGAAACATTTTATCTACAGATATTTTTTTTCTGGGAGCTTTTGAAGAAAATTTCTGCCACAACAAAAATGTTGATGAAATTGTTTAACTTTGAAGATGTTGAGTTTTTTACTCATTTCATCAAAATCATATTTTACTATATGAATTTTTTTTTTTCACGTTTGGAATATTTAATAAACACTCATGTCAAAGGTTTTATTCTAACGGAGCTGCCTTCGCCTACCGATGTCATAAACGTTCCTGGCGGGTGGAACGCCGCCCGCCGCCGCCGCTCTGATGGCGCAGCAGCGCGTCGCGTGCTCATGATGCACCGGCGACTTCATCTCCTCGTAGCTGCTCTCGGCGTGCTTGCAGAGCGCCGGCTGATCGTTGATGGTGGCGTACGGATTCTCGCTGTTCAGGGAGCAGGTGCTGGACAGAGAGCCCTTCATGTAGTCTGGAAAATACACAGGAAGGAAGAAACACGGCTTCATGAAGGGGGCGGGGTCAAACACCATCAGGTGTTTAATCTGACGGTTAAACATTTAAACCTTTAAATGCAAATTATAGAAACAAAACTCCTGGAAGCTTAAAAAATTAAAATATGGTAAAAAAACTGATGAACAGATTTAGAACCGGTTCAGCCCGGCGCCGAGGTTTGGGTCAAAGGATTATAAGTTGACAGGAAAATATTGAATAAAATATTACTGGGTAATTATCATTACTGAAACTCACAATCATAAAATCTTAACCCAACAGATCAAAAAATACAATTAAAATAAATATAAATTATTTGAACTTCAGTTAAATCAAACCAAGTCATCAGTTAGTGAATCTGAACATAAACACAACATGTAATATTTTTTAATAATATTCTCCTCATCGGCAACATCTCAATACGACACTGAGCTCAATATGAAGATCTGCAGAGGATTTCAGATCATCCAGGATCCTCACAGGGATCGGTTTGAAAACCCACAGCAAATATTAAAACTATAAACATCTTTCTTTCAGGAATAATTCTGACAGAGAAATGTGAAAAGATGCTTCAAGTTCAGCTTATAAAAAAATAAAAACTATTCATATATGAAACACACTGGGGAAAACCCTGGATTCAGCTTCATTTCTCATAATTTGAGAAAATAAAACGTTGAGGGAATGTTGAGGGAACGTTGAGGGAACGTTGAGGGAACGTTGAGGGAATGTTGAGGGAACGTTGAGGGAACGTGGTGATGCTGGAAAAGTTTTCTCCTGGAGGAATGAAGAAGAAGAGCAGATAAACCAGAGAGGGACGGTTTCTCCTGTGGAGACACAGTTGAGTTCAGAAAACCAGGTGTGAATCAGCAGCATTCAGGTGCAGCAGGTCACCAGGTCATGCAGGAGATTATGAAACACAAGGAGCCGCAGGTCAGAGGTCAGGAGGTCGGTACCTCTGCAGGGCGGCTCCAGGTGGTAACTGAGGCGCCGGTCGATGCAGTAAACTCCTGAGGAAAGAACCAGAGATAAACGTCCTGGGGAGTAAGAGAAAGACGTCCAGTAGGGCGGCGCTCCAGAGAGGCCGACGTTCAGAGTCTCTCCTGCTGACACATGTTGGGTTTCAACATGGTTGAATTTAGCGCCTTAGCATTAGCTTCCTCTAATCACAGTGATGATTTAGAAGTTAGCAGAACTGACCTTCACCAATATTCATAATTAGCATCTCTGGAAAACTGTTACTAAAGGAACAAACGATGAAACCTCTGAATTTATTCTCTCCAGATTTATTCCTATTTTAGTGAATGAAAGAAGCTCAAATCCAGAGCGGGAGACGTCTCTAACTCTGCTGGACTCCAGGTTGTGTTTGTGTCCGGACCTAAAGGCTGGAGAACCGACTGACCCAGATCAGTGAGGTTGCAGTAGGCGCCCCACTCCGGAGCGCTGTTCCTGAATCCCTTCTTCGGCTTCATCTGGGAGGAAACAGACGACACGTCAGCAAACGCACAGGCTGAGCGAGAAACACTTTACTGAAAGAAATATTTAAAACTGAAACAAAAATGTGAAACACAAAAAAAATATTTCAAAAGTACTTTGGAAGTTTAAGCTTTATATGTTAAATTCTACATTTTTTATTCACTTTCAAAGCTTCTTTTTTCCTTTCATTTTTGAACAAACTTCATGGCTCTAATTTGGCTCTGATCTGAGCGCTTCGTCTTCCACCCACCTGGGCGGCGCTCTTCCTGTCCGGCGTGGCGTAGTGCGCGGCGCAGTGCGCGGCGTAGCCACGCGGCCCCAGCGTGTGGTAGCTGGGGTTGGAGAAGCAGCCGGCGGCGGAGCTGCCGCTGGGAGACGAGTCTGCAGAGGAGAGCAGGCCTGCACACTGCAGCCCTGCTGCCGACGCACATTAACATCCAACATCTGCAGCTGCTGCACGTCAGCCTGACTCACACGCCTGATCCAACCCCACTCTGCATTTCACCTCCAAACAATCCCATGAACACTTGCAGAAACATCCACTGAGTTAATATGGAGAAGCGTTTCACATATCATATACAATCATTCAAACTTAAATACTGTTATTAATCATAATTAATAAATATTCCATTAAATAAAAAATGTCTCCAAGAAATGAAAGTGAATATAAAAAAAGCTACTTTTCTAAATTGGGGAGCTGAAGTGGCATTTAATGAGCAGACTCCGCCCCCAGAGAAGACTCCGCCCCCTCATTTGAATATAAAAGCCTGAAATTAAAAAATAAAAGTTCAGCTACTATATTGTGAAGCAGCTTTACAAAATAAAAGCACAAAGAGACTGGCAGCATACAGAAAGATGGAAAAAGAAACAAAAAAAGAGCAAATAAATCATAAAATAAAATGATTTTATCTTGAAATAAATAAATCTTGATTTTACCAATAAATCCCAAAATAAACTAGTAAAGTAAATTACCCATTAAAATATATATAAATGTTTTATTGTGGACAATTATTTATTTTATGAAATATTTATTATTTATTAACATTAATATTTATTTAATTTTGTATGAAATGTCCATGTCCAGATTAAGGCATGTGGTACCGGAGTAACACGGACCCATCAGAACCTCTCCAGAACCTCCTGGTTCTGGCCGGATTCCAGGAAGGAAAACAAGAAATGAGATCCGATCAGGAGGTTTGATCACCATTAACCACACATGAACCTTAAAACCCGGAGAAATCAGCAGGAAGACCCGTCATCTGGTTCTGTTAGGTTCTGGCCGTGTGTGAGCCCCGGCCCGGTTCTGATCCGTCGTACCTGACAGCGAGTAGTCGGTGGAGCCGATGTGCAGGGCGGGGGTGTAGCTGACGCTGGGCGCCTGCTGGCCTTTCTCCCGCTGCCGGTACCGGAACCAGACCACCAGAACCAGCATGGCCATGATGAGCAGCAGCAGGAAGACGATGCCAGCACGGCGCCGGCCGACTGCCGCTCCGACGCCAGCGCCGGGCTGATCTTGGTGTACGGGTTCAGCTCCTCCATCATCAGGGCGGCTGAGGACACAGGAAGCTGTCAGGGTCCCACGCTTTTATTCTGAAGGAACATTTCCTGTTTGATCAGCTTTTCCATCATTCCTCCACCGCCGTGCTTCACAGATAAAGCATGAGGCTCTGCTCCAGACGTTATGGGATGGAGGTTTGTTTTTTTAGCTGTCAAGTCGTCAACAAAGCGCTAAATGTAAACAATAACATGAAGAACGTGTGTCCACCATCTTGTCTCCAGGGTTTATTAACTATAAAATGACGAGATATGTATTTTTCTGTGGTTTCTGCTGATCTTTGGTTTCGTTTTTAAAAATGAAGCAGAGCCGAGCGGCGCCTCACCCTGGTCGCAGCGGATGCCCTTAAAGCCGATGCTGCAGTAGCAGGTTCCCGTCACGTAGTCGCATGTGGCGTTGTTCATGCACTCGCAGAGCTGCTGGCAGCCGTAGCCAAACGTCCCTGACGGACACTCTGGAAGACAGGAGTCCATGTCTCAAGTGCGTCCAGAAACGCTGAGGAAGGGCGGCGGCGGCGACTCACTGAGCTCACAGCTGGGCCCGATGAAACCCGTCCTGCAGGAGCAATGGCCGCTGATGTGATCGCAGTCGGCGCCGTTCTGGCAGCGGCAAACCTCTGAACACTGAACGCCGTAGAAACCCGACGGGCAGCCTGCGGGGGACATGGTGCTTAAAACAAAACCATGCCACACTTTTCAGGTTCCTTAAGAATGCTGAAAGCCACATTTTATTATTGAATATAATAAAATTATTGTTTTGAACAACATAACATGGGGGAAAGTTTTAGAAGCAGCAATTCTTTCCAAAGAGAGTTTTTAAAAGTTTGGATAATTTATTCTTAAAGACCTTAAATTAGAACATCAGTAACTTTTCCATTTTCATAGCTGCAGTTTAACAATCTGCCACTAGATGGTGATGTTGTTCCAGCCGGAGCAGAGCAGCTGTGCAGAGATGTTGGGCTCAACCTGTGTGTATGTGTGTGAGTGTGTGTGTGTGTATGTGTGTGAGTGTGTGTGTGTGTGTGTGTGTGTGCGTGAGCGTGTGTGTGTGTGTGTGTGTGTGTGTGTGTGTGTGTCGTACGCTGCGTGCAGTAGAGTCCGGTCCAGCCGGGGCTGCAGGAACACTCTCCGTCCGCGGCGCTGCACTCGGCCCCGTTGTGACAGTTGCACAGCTGCAGGCAGCCTGGACCCCAGGACCCTGCAGGACACGCTGCCAGAGAAACCATAGAGAGCGTTCACAGCAGCCATGTTTAATCTGCTTTAACACCACTCCAGTCCGTTTGTCCAGAAAGTCCGGTTGGTTGGGGAGGTGTGAATACTAATCGACCTCTGACCTCTGATCCTCCTGACCTCGGTCTGGGTTCTGTTAAAGTGAACTCTGGTTCGGTTTGAATGCGTATCTGAACACCAGAGAGCGCTCCAAAAGCAGGAAGTGGACCACAGTGCAGGGCATTCTGGGTAAATACAAAACATGCTAGCCTAGCGCTAGCAGCAGAAATGGCTCCTGGTCTTCATCCAAAGACTCAAGAGAAATCCTCCAGCACTAAACTCTGACGCCTCCATCTTGTTTAATCTGGTGAAACAGGAAGTTGCTCTCAGTGTCTTCAGAGGTTTTAGTGTCGTTTCCTGCAGTGGTTGTTGGTGCAGCGCCCCCACAGGCCAGCAGGAGAACAGGTTGTGAAAGAAAACCGCAGCAGCTAAAAATTGGTCTAAAATCCAACAGATTCTACTGGAGTAAAGACATCCAAACTCGAACCGCAGCTCAACAGGTGTCTAA